CTGTTTTGAGACTATCTCCATTCCTATGCAAAAGGCATAGCTCAGAGGTGTCCTGGGGTGTCTGGACTTGCTGTGGTAATCCTGATCCCTGATAATGTAGAATTTAGTGTGTAGACTATAGAAGAATAAATAGGGTATAGTAATTCTATATACTGATTAATTAATTTTTACTTTTACTTTTTTATTTTACTTATTTATTTATTTATTTATTTATTTATTTATTTATTTATTTTTGCCTGTTAGAGACAAATGAATATTGGGAAACCCCAGAGACTTTCCAACAACCTCTGATGGCTTTCTGAATCAAAATATAAGTTTTCAGGACATAGTTTTGACAGCACGCATGTCAGCACCTCCAAACAGGAAGCCTACAGCACATCTATTTAGCATTGCAGATTTATTGTACTACCTTAGAACATTCCTTCGGAACTCATGTATTTGTTGCCAGATTTTGCTTAAAGGAAAACTTTCCTAGAAACTCCTTCTGCCTCCTTTGGAATGTGGATTACTTAATTGATTTTATAATATTTCTCCAGTCACGGACACAAAATTAAGTATTTGTGGTTTAACCTATGCATCACCATCTAGTTTCTGCTTACTCTGGCCATGCTAGCAACTAATATACATTATCCCAATAAGCTATGCCACTTTGGGCAATCCCTTCCATCCATCTCATGAGCACAATGCATGAGTCTATTTCCCTCCCCACACATTGTGTGGAAAGGCCATTGCCCTCCAGGGCCACACACCTTTCAATGTAGCAGTACTTTGTGATGGATCATTCGGACATCTCTGTATGTAGCCTCTTCTCTGCAGCTGCAGCAGAGAAGCAGCTGGACTGTGACATACTGATGCCTACATGCCTTGGTCTGTAATATAATGGTTTTATTCAATGTCCCTTGGCCAAAACTGGCCAAAGTGGATTCACTTATCTTCAGAGACATTGGAAATGTGGAAGAACACAATATTTCTAGAATAATACGTGTTACTTCTGTACCACTTAATTAACCACTTCGCAAGTGTAGTGAAGCCTTGTAGGCCATGAATGTTGTAAGTGCCATAGCTGAGTCAGCATAGAAGGAAGGAAGCAGAGACTCTCCTGGGTGAACTTTCCAGGTCTTCTCCTATAGATCTGTTTTAAATAAGCAAAATACCACTGTGTGCATGCAAGCACATGTGTGCACATGCTGGAGCATACCACAGGATATTTTGGGAATCAAATGTATGTCATCAGGCTTAGCCACTACCTGCTGGGCCATTGTGCAGGCCCTTCCATCTGGTTTTGAAGTTCAAGGATTTCTTATTCTCTCACATCCTCATGTTGTGGTACAGAAATATGGGGAAATAGAAACCTAAAAATAATTTAAATATTGAGTTGTAAATATGGATTCTTTATTTAGATTTATACTGTCAAAGCTCAAGGAACTGATGGATAGATAGATAGATAGATAGATAGATAGATAGATAGATAGATAGAACAGTTTAACTTACCTCTCATTTGTGTTCATAGTTTAAAATCTTTTATCCCTGTTGCTAGCTCCATTTTTCAGGCAATCTGGAGAGATTATTGTATTTTGACTATCAGTTTTTATTGGCATCCAGTGTTAACATGGACATGTAAAATGAGCATAATTCTATATAAAATTTAGTCTTTTATTCTTATGTGCTTTCCCATAGGCATTGTGGTTAAGCCAGGGTAGATTTGAAACACTACAGATTGTCTGTCTTGGAAAGTTTACATAATACAAAATGAGTTCCTTGAGTAAATCTGTCTTGCTTATTAACTGAGAAACTTTGAGATTTTATATATTTATATACATGTATACATATATGTATATATGTATATATGTCTATGTGCTTGTGTGTGTTTGTATCTAATATATATATATACATACATATATACATGTATATATATGTATATATATATATAGCATATATAGCATATGTGTCCAGTATATATGCAGTATGCATAGCCACTTCTTTATACAAACTTCTATTCTTAAAAAAAAAAAATGTAGGTATGATAGCACATACCCATGTTCCCAACATTAGAAACTCTGAAGCATGAGGACTGTGAGTTTCAGACCAACCAAAGTGACCAAAGGAGACTTTGACTCAAAGGAAGAAAGAGCACCATTCAACAAGCTGCTACTTTGAAAGAATCACATAAACTATTAGGGAAATTATTTCCACAAATCTTCTTTAACCAAAACTACTGGTTTTTTAATGACTCACACTTCGCTTTTCTTGGTCAAAAGACTCCAATGTGGCACAGAGTCTCTGTGATCGAGTCCTGGATAGCTTCTATTGGGGAAGTTTGTGTCTCTCTCTGAAAAGATATAAAATTGAGGCCAGCATACTGTCATCTGCAGGCTTAAACTGTTAGCTAGCATGCTCTTGCTTCAGAGGATAAAGAAAGATGGCAGGGAATAAGAGATATATCAAATGTTCTCTGAGGGTTGTAGCAGAAAACCAAAAATTATTGATTTCTTAGAAGTTACTGAAGCAACACAAAAGATTTCTATCTGTATTTTCCCTACTTATTTATGATACATGCCAGAGGAAATTTCTTTCAATCCTGGAGACAAAGAAATAAAAATTTTACCACTCAGTTTCTTGTTTTTGATGACTAAATTTTTAAAACTTTGAATATAGAATAGAACATCAAAATCTGAGAGTAGGTAGAGTTCAAAATAAAATATCAAATGGAACAATCTTGTGGTTAAATACCAAAGAATTGGTTCTATTTCTGACTTTTTTTTTTCATAGATTTGAACACTTGTTATTCTGCAACGCTGCCAGTGTGTGGCTTTTCATTTTAATTTTAGAAAAGATCAAAAGGGATTCTTACATAAGTCTCTTGAAATGGGAGTGAGATGGCTCGCTAAGTGCTTCTTTAATGTGGGGTGTGACAAGTCAGTTCCAAATGAACAGCCTGATCAAATGTCAATTCTACAGAGACTGATGGATTCCAGCTATAAAGACTTGGAGCTGGGCAGGTTGAATGACAGAGAACACTCCACTCTGCACTGCTTTAAAGAAAACTCATAAAAACACTGCCTGGTTAACTACTTGTATTTGTGAGGAAAGCTGAACATTTCAGACAAGCACGAACAGTTAATTTATCAAATAGTGATGAAGGCCCTCTGGTATTGGACCAAACTGAGTATAAGCACTTCTCCCAGCAATTCTGTCTGAGCAACTTTTTCTTTTCTTGTCTGTGCTTTGATTCTTCATCTGAAAAATAAAGACTGCAGGAGCCTGGTTAAGTGAGAAAATACTTATAAAACACTTAACTACAGCTGTTCTCAGTATGGGCATTGTACGAACATCATTATTCACCTTCATAATCCATTGTCATCCAGCAAGATGACATTCAATGCCATGTTAATTACACCTGCTGGTGCCCAATACTTTTTATCTATCAAGGAGACAATTAACAATTCATTATTGATGTTTTGTCATAGAAGTATCTGTTACTTTTGCCATCTCTGACTTGAGATGTCATTGTCTTTGTTTCTCTAGTTTAGCATCACCATTAAGTGACTGACTAGTATAGTAAAAAAAAAAAAAAAATCCAGTCAAATTTCTCTTTGCGTAGTGCCTACTTGCTACCCCAAAGAGAAGAATAAATTAGCAGAGATTCTGAGATCAAGTGTTCTTACACATGTGCAACCATTGGGGGTGGAACATTATTGGTACTTGACAGCATGCTTTGCAAAGCATGATGTTGAGTTCAGAAGCACTGAGTAAACACTAGTGCATGGATTTGGTAATGATAAACACAGGAAGAACACCGGACCACTGAGTTTCACCTTAGACTATTGCTCTCTTTAATTGTATAAAAGAGCTTTTGTCTCTGTTGAGCATGGGAGATAGAAAAGACAATGCGCCATCTCCGAGAGGGACCCTTAAAAATTATGTAGTGGATTTCTTTGGCCTGTGTTTTCCAGAATCTTACAGAGAAATTCTTACTGGAGCCAAAAGTGCTTTCTGGAAATGTACAGGAGAGATTTTAATAGTTACACTGATGACAGGGGACTGATGACAGTGGCAATTGGTACACAATGGCTACCCATGTCAGGTGTCTTACAACTTATACAGGAGTCATACAGAGCCTTCTCTCCTTCAGTGCCTTTGAGGAATGAGAAATAGAGATACTGAAGGGACATTTCTTTTTTTCTAGAGCCTAATACACAATAAAACACAGACTTTTAAATACTCTACCCATGTATTAAAAAGCATCGGTGAATATGTAGACGTCCTATCCTCATGGATCTTTCATTCTTCAAATACCTCATCCACAAAAATGAGTTGAGTCTATCACATGTTAGTCCACGGGGCAATGAGCAGAATGCACTGGAGGGAAGGAAGGTTGACAAAAGAAGGAAAGTCTATTGGAGTTTGCAGTAGGTGATCAGAGTTGAAGCTGAATAAAATATTAACAAACTCATTTTGTTTTGGATATGCGAAAGTGGTATATAATTAAGCTGGAAATAGCCATAGAGCTCATCTTTGGGGAAGATGCTCAAAATTGGCAAGTTAAAGTTAGTGAAATGGGTGTCAGCCATTTAAATTCCTAGCTTTAAGCAAGAATACAGCCCTAAGGAAATTCTTGACAGTTATGGATAATAGATACATACATACATACATACATACACTGATGGATGGGTACCTGCATATAAAATGACCATGAAAATGGCCTTCGTACTGGATATATGTCTGTTACTGCTGGGACCTAGTCGCTGTGTGAATTGAGGCTACTAGTTTTAGTAGAGAGGGTGGCTTTCCAAGCCTGGTTCAGGAGAGATTGAGTAACTAATTCCTGGGACTCACAAAGAACTCAGCCCATTGGCTTCTAACCCTTCTGCATTCAGGGACCTTGTGGGAACTGTTACTCATGTCTAGAGTGAGCCTCCCTGATATGTAAGATGAAGAAGGCTTTCTTACAACCCTACCCTTAAACGTTGCATCGTAATCATTGTTGTATTCTCCTGCAGAAAGAATGACTTAGAAGAGTGAGCATCTTCGCTGAGCATTCATTAGACTAGGAAGCAATGTGATGATGGAGATCACCTCACAGACAAATGTGGCCAGTGTTCTTAGCTATCCTTTCTCCTTAGAGGCCGAAATGAACTAAAATGGCCCAAATGGCCTAAATGGCTGCAGAATTTATGTCTCCTCCAAACTACAATTGGACTCAACTGTCCCCCTAGAAACTCACATCATCTGTGATGATAAATGAAAGAGCCATTAATACCCACCGAGGCCCACAGAAAGTTGTTCTGCCAAAAAGAAACATTTCTTTCAAAAAGAACTCTCGAAAAGAAAATGACAAGATCTGAAATTAAAGATCAAAGGAGTAGGGTTGATCTTCATAGAAAATCCATCCCAGGAAGAAATATGACCTAAAGCAAACAGACACTATTACAGCAGCATATGCACTATTGAAAAAGAATCAAACCTTCTACAAGGCGCAGGAAGGGATGCTTCGGAGGTGCTGGTGGGAAGAGAGGAGGAGGCCCCAGAGGGAGACTACAGCACTTCAAACAGCAAACCCAGGCAAATAAACAAAACCTTTGCTTTGTTTTACCAAAACATACACAGCTCTGCGGATTTCAAAAAGTCCTTTGAAAACCCCTTTGCAGAACTAGCTGGAGAATACTACCTGGAAGCCTTCCCTAAAGGAAACATATGTGAAGATTTTAGATGGCATCTACAAGAAAGTAGTTGGCCCCAGCAGGGGAGGGGAGAGACGAGTTGTTAGGGGAGTGGAAGTTATTAGGGCAGGAATCATTGAGAAAAGGTGTGGGGGGGTCAAAGGGAAGAGTAGAATTGGACAGATAAATTACTTTCAACACATTGTTTGATGACATGGACTCTTCTAGTATGGTGTTAACACACCGTGGGCTCAGTTTTCCCTTAAGCAAGTGGTAAGAAGTATTTTCACCAAAGCTAAATACTCTTCCCAAGAGACGCCTTCTCTAACTAAACAGAGAAGGGGGAGATGCCAGAAGCCAGGACCCTCACCCTTACCCTTACCCCCTACCTTTCCCCACCTGCACAATGTCCTCTGAAGCTTGGCAGCTGCAAGATCCTGCTTAGCAACTGCAGATAGACTCAAAGCAGAGTACCATGTCTTCTTAAGAATAGCAGGGAGACCATAACTCAAGCAGTGTACCATATCTTCTGAAGAACTGCAGGTAGATCATAATTCAAGGCAGTGTACCATATAGACCATGACATGTTTCAAGGCACAGGCCAAGAAGATTTTGTACTTTTCCACCACCTGGACCCTCTTACCCCCTCCCCTTGTAAAACATGCTATAAAAAAGCATTTCATGTTCAAAAAAAAAAAAAGAAATTAAAAAAAAAAGAAAAAAAATAAATATATAAAAAAAAAAGAAACAGTGAAGGAATTTCATGAAGACCAGAAGTTCTACTTACCCAATGAGGAAGAGAGTGTGACAGGAGCCAATGCACTGGATGTGGAACACAGGGTTAGAATGATCAAGACCAGAGAAAAGAAATGCTCTGATAAGCTAATTTATTTGCTTCCAATTTTTTGTTAATTTTCTCTTTATGAAAAATTGTATGAGTATCTCAACTCCAAAATTGTAAACACATGTCAGTCTTAAAAGTATCTCCAGATAATGAATTAAAAGTCACTTGATGAAAAAAAAAAAAAAAAAAAAAGAATGCATGAAGGTTTTTCTAACCTGTCCCACCCTAAGTTTTGTTTTAGGAGTTTTACTTACTTGCAGTCTAAAAAAATATGAAATAGGAATTCTATAAACAAACGATTTATTGTTTTTTAAACTGTACACAATCATGAGGGCCCCTGTCCCTCTGTCCTATGGAAGCATGAATTATCCTTCTATTGAGCACTCTAAATCTGTCTACCTGATAGTTTCTGGCTGCTCATCTCGGCTTATCTCGTAGACTTCATGTTGAAATTACCCTCTTACTTAGCAGGGGGCCCCATGTCCATAGAGGATGGTCAATGTACCTCCTCTAAAAGAAGCTCTAAGTCACCTTCTTTAAGTAAAAAAAAAGTGAATGTCTGTGACAGGGGGTGGGGTGGATATATTATTAGTAATACCCACAGTGAGAATAGATCTCACCGTATCTAATTTATAAATGAAAGTCCATCACAAGTTGTCTGACTATCGTAAAGGATGGGCCACAAAAGTTTTAGTACTGTCTGTGGTTCCAGGCATCCACTTGTATCTTAGAATGTATCTCAAGGATGTAAAGGGAGGTTGTTGTAGTATGCTACAGAATTCCATACATATGTTTGATATGAATATTGCTGCTTGGATAGGTGGATAATACCAAAGAGCCTTTCAACTCAGAGGCTGTCTCTGGCCAGGCAAAAATATAACAGGCATGGACCAAGTGCCTGTTATATGTTAAGTATATGTTAAATCTGTGCTAGACTCCGAGCATATGCTGCTGTCTCCAGTCTGGTGAGCTGCTCCCAAGGCTACCCAGCTAGTGCACATCCGAGTCCTTGGCCAGGTCCCTGACTTCTCTTATAATTAACCTCTATTGCTTGTGTTCTTATGGACCCCCTCCTTTTCTTCCCGTCCTCATCGCTTTCTCCCCTCATTCTGTCGCATCTGTCCATTTTTCTCTTTCTCCAAATATTACATCCAAAAGATAGAAGTGCCCAACTTGGTTCTATGGTTTGGTGCTTTGGGCATGGTGAGGTATTGGCAGGACTGGCTGAGTAGCTGCAGGGGGCCAGGAACTGGTGAGCCAGATTTGTTTGCACTGCCACACACTGTGGGAGCTCAAGAGAGGCAGAACTCTGAAAAACAGGGCAACTCCAGCTAGCATCCCATCTGCTCTGTGGGAAAAGCATACTGACTTCCGGGAGTGGGTGTGAGGAAACCACACAAAAAGAAAGCTGCAGCTGTCTCTCTGCAAATGAGGGGTGTGGGACTTTTTTCCATGGAAGCCTCTAGAAGGCATTAGCATGAAGTACCTAGTCTCCATATTTTATGCCTGAGTACATCAAAGACCACCTCTAGAAGACTTCTGGCTCCAAAAATCATATCCATGTTTGTTTTTGTCGACTTTCTAGATACTTCTGTTTATCCCTCTGCCAATCCTTAATTGTTAGGGCTTCTTAAAAATTTCTCCACCTACTTGGGTCTTCATTTTCCCTTTATTCCCCACACAAGCTTCTGGTGATTCAGTCACTGCTTCCAATCTCCCATTAGGAGTGCTAGGATTACAGATGTGGGCCATTGGATCCTGCTTTTATATGGTTACTGGACAGTATAACTCTCGTCCTCACATTTGTGTACCGAACACTTTAACCACTGAGCCATCTTCCCAGCCACTTGTTTCTTAGTCATTAGCTGTGTCAGGATGTCTCCAGAGCACCTCTTTACAACTGTGCCTAGCAGGTTATCTGCCCCATGCAGGAAAGAGTGAGTGCCTTCACTGTGACTCTTGTGTGTGTAAGTTCTGTTCAGCAGCTGAGCTAAGGGTAGGCAAATGCCACATGGACAAAAGACATATAATACTAACCACTGGCTATTGGCTTACTTGCTTGCTTCTTTCCTTCCTTCCTTCCTTCCTTCCTTCCTTTCTTTCTTCCTTCCTTCCTTCCTTCCTTCCTTCCTTCCTTCCTTCCTTCCTTCCTTCTTCCTTTTTTCAATCACTATAGTATTCTTTGAAGGACTATTGTGTACCAGATAGTAAATGTTGGGATTGGAAAACAAGACAAACGGACATAAATGATGGTTCTTAAGGTGCTGTCATTGGGTAAGACAGACAAATAAGCAGCAATGGATATGGTGTGTCAGAGTGGATATGGTGCATCAGATGGCCTGAAGAGATGAAGGGAAAATGGAGCAGGGGACAAGGTTGGGATGCTGAAGCCCTTACAAGAATCTGGATGGAGCAGTTTTCTTGGGTTCATACCTCCTTAATATTCTGAACTGGTCTTTTTTCTAACCTTTTCCTGTTGTCTCCAGAATCAGGTCATCCATCACCAGGCTCCTCCCAAAGTCTGGTAGAGCCTGTTCTTTCTACATGCCAGGAGGTAGAGGTATACCCTTGCCAAATACAGTTTTTGTCTGATAGAAGTCAGAAGATCACTGTCTTCTATGAAATCTCAAAAATATCAATAGTTCGATTGTGTGATCTGGAAGAAATGTATTTATTGACCCTACTGTTCACTGGCTATTGGCCTCTGTGTAGGGACTGGCCAGAGCTTTCGATGATTCCTACATAACCTTTAACAGATAAGATATCAGGATGCTTCCTTCAACCCCTTTTATAAAGGCTCCAATCACATTTCTGAGAGCAAAGTCCTCATGATTTAATCAGTTCTTCTGAATATTAATCTTAATACTATGAGAATTGGTTTTAAGGTGTGACATTAATTTTGGCGGACATGTTCAGACCATAGCAAATCCATTGACAAAGGAATTGATAACTAATAATGAAGCATCCATTTTGTGGTGTGACTTCATCTGTGATGGCAATGACATTCTTCCCAGATTTGTGTAATTATATAGTAAATTTTCTGGGAAACCATGAGCCAATCTGGGAAGAATGGCATCTCCACGGAATGGATTCCATAATTGTGTTTCTATTTTGAAGTTGAAGAGCCAAAAGGCCTAATCTTGATCTCTAGAACCCACATAAAAATGACTGGCTTGAGATAATCTCGTCACTGAGGGGAAAGAAACGGAACTCTGAGATTTACTTACTAGCCAGCTCAGTCTCTTTGGGTGAGCTCCAGGCCAGTAAGAGACCCAGTGGAACTCCTGAGAACCTACACACAAGGTTGTCCTTATGTATCACATAAACATACTTGCATACAAATCCACACACATATATGCACATATATAGCCACACTCAGACAGGTATATGAGCAAGTTTTCCTGTATAAATGAAAGTAAACTATACAAATTAATTGCCTAAGGAAAAGAGACATGGAAAGCCACAGAGTTTGTGGCTTGTACAAAGCTATGTGAAACACAAAGATCTAGCCTCAAGTAGAAAGAGTAAGAGACACAGTTGATAAAATGAAGAATTTCTGGAAATTCATTGAGTCTACACTAGGCAGGAACCCACTGACATCAACATGTAATCTGGGCTTCAGAAGAGGACAGGCAGGGGACTCAAGAGCTTGGTGCTTTCCACAAGAGACTGGAACTCCAGTCTGCTTGCTGGCAGGCAGCCTAATCTAGGGCCCATAAGGAAAGAATAGCTCTGTGCTCACCCAGTAAACATATTGTTAACAGAAGCTGTACCCAATAAAAGATCTATGTTTAAGCTATAAAATGCAGCAGGATAAAAAGAAACACAGCAGATGGGAACATTTCTACAGTGCTTCAAATCAACAGAGACAATATTTTAAAAATAACCAGGAGAAACCTCCAGGACATCCCTCCCCTCCTCTCCTCTCCTCTCCTCTCCTCTCCTCTCCTCTCCTCTCCTCTCCTCTCCTCTCCTCTCTTCTCCTCTCCTGTCTTCTGTCTCTTTTTTTATTAAACTTTGTGGCATTGCCATTTTCACTGACTGACAACAACTGACAATTAAAATCAATAGGCCACCTGGAACTAATTCCCTGTCCACACATAAAATAGATGACAGTTTTCCCAGATCAGAGACAGGTGGGAAGGAGAGCCTCCTGCATGGAGAAGACTGCTTTTATGTGGAGAACTCTGGACAGGTGACCAGTTCAGTTTGAGAACAAGAAGCTGAGCTGAAAGTGATTTCACAGACTAAGCCAGAATTCAGAGAGTCCAGCAGACCGCCAGATGCTTGACACCAGTACAAACTAATTCCTGCCATATCTGTGATGCTCCCTGAAGGGACTCTGTAAAGTTTGCACTTACAAAGGCCTGGCAGGGCACATTCTAGTATCAAATGCATCTCCCCCTAAAACTTACTTTTGAGACTTGGGAGGCTTTGAGTTGGTCATATTTCTACTACTGGACTATTATTCAGATATGCATCTTACAATGACTGACTCAATACAGTATCTACAGTAACTAAGGGCAGGGATGGGTATCATCCCCCCCCCTT